TTTAATTTTAAAATGTAAAAATATGTGTGTATATGCATATATATTATTTGCTGGTGCTTATAATTGAACCTAGGATCTATGGCGTGCCAATTAGGTTTGCTACCACTGATCTATGTACCCCAGCTGTCATTATTTTATATTATGGTTATTATTTTTTTTGCCAAGTGTGGTTGGATCACGAGCCTGTAATACCCCAAGAAGGCTTAGGCAGAGGATGTTTAACTTTGTTGGAGACCAGCCAGGGCCACATAGCAAGATCCTGCCTCAAATCTAACTGAGCAAGCAACCAAAACAAGTGCTTTCTGTATTGTTACTTTGTTTTTGTTTTTGTTTTTTTCTTCTTCTGGTATTTGAGATAGAGTCTTACTATGAGGTCCAGGCTGACCCCATACTTGTGCTGCTTCTGCCTCTACTTCCTCGAGTTCTGGTATCATGAGCTGTGCCTTAGCTCTGTTGAGTTTTACAAGTGTCTAGATCCCACGTGTTCTCATTTGCTTCCTGTTGTGATGAAACACTATGACCAAAAGCAAATTGGGGAGGAGAGGGTTTATCTGGCTTACACTTTAGGGCACAGTCGGCCACTGAGGGAAGTCGGGGCAGGAACTCAAGCGGAGTCCGTGGAAGAATGCTGCCTACTGGCTTGCCTACTGGAGCAGCTGTTTTTGTTTTTGTTTTAAATACAGCCCAGTTCCATCTTCTTAGGGATGATGCTCCTTATAATGGGCTTGGGCCCTGTCACAGACGTGCCCCCTGGGCAATCTGATTGAGGCAATTCTTCCAAGAGGCTGCCTTTGCCCAGGTGACTGAGTTGTAGCAACTTGGCCTGACGCAGGCCTTGTGTGCTTGCTGCCTCAATCTCTGTGAGTGCGCGTGAGCTTTGACCATGCCGAGGGCCCTGATCTTCTGGTGTCCTTCACCCCCTCTGGGTCTTCCTGCCTCCTTTTCCTGAGCCCTGAGGGAGAGGGATTTGATAGAGACAGCCCCTTCAGGGCTGCATGTTCCATGGTCTCTGACTCTCTGCATACTGTCTGCCTGTGGGTCTCTGTACTTCCTTCCATCTGCTGCAAGAGGAAGCTTGTGGGATGATGGCTGAGCAAGGCACTAATCTAAATATCCTATACTTCTTCATCTACTGCCTTTAGCTAGTTGCTTCAGTTTTCAGTGGTTACCAATAAGGCTGTTGTTGAAATACACACATCAACTTCTCAATTGGGTAAACACTTAGGAGCGTGATTCTTATTTAGTAAGACCATATGTAGCTTTGAAAGAAAAGTGATTAGCTGAGGACTAGGGGTTTATTTAGCTCAGTCATGAGGCTGTATCCAGAGCACTTCGAAACAAACAGGCAACAACAAGGCCTGCTCTGCTCTTCTAGGTGTGTATTTAAAAACATTTTATATTTATTTAATTAATTTTAGTGAGATAGGCTTCCTCCATGTACTCAGGTTGGTTCCAGATTTGAGTTTCTCCTGCTTGTGCCTCTTGAGCGCAGGGAACACAGCATGCCACATTTGCACCTTTAACTGCAAAGAATGACAGTCCCTGCTCTCCTGCATCCTTATGAATAAAGACGGCTTTACATCCAGCAGCGCAAACTGCTAGTCTCTCTCATCTTTGACCCCATCCCCCGAGTGCTGTCCCAGAGTACTGTATTTTGATATCTGTAATTAAAATGTAAAAATGTCATATTAACTCCCCTTTCTTTCTTATGATTCCCTGCACTCTGCCGAAGGTTTGGTTATGAGTCTTATCTGCTTTGATACACTACTAGGTAGAGTCCTTCAGAGGCCCTCTTTGGTAAGATCCTGTCCTGTTACTTGTTTTCTCCTACATCCAATGTCCATCCCATTTGTCTTTGTAAGTGAGTATTGATCATCTTACCCCGGGTCCTCTTTCTTGTTTATCTTCTTTAGGTGTACAGATTTTAGTATGTTTATCCTATCTTATAGGTCTATATAAGTGAGTATATATCATGTGTGTCTTTCTGCTTTTATCTGGGCACAGGGGTCTTTTATGGGACTGTTTCTCCAACCAAGGACCATGTACGGATATAACCTAGAACCTCTGCTTGGATGTAGCCCATAGTAGCTCAGTATCCAAGTGGGTACCCTAGTAAGGGGAACAGGGACTATTTCTGACATGAACTCAATGGTGGGCTCTTTGACCTCCTGCGTCCCACCCCTGAGGGAGGAGCAGCCCTGCTAGGCCACATAGGAGGACTTTGCAGCCAGTTCTGAAGATACCTGATAAACCAGGGTCAGATTAAAGGGGAGGAGGTCCTCCCCTATCAGTGGATTTAGAAAGGGGCAGGGAGGAGATGAGGGAGGGAGGGTGGGATTGGGATGGAATGAGGGAGCGGGATACAGCTGGGATACAAAGTTAATAAACTGTAACTAATATTAAAAAAATAAAAAATTTAAAAATGTACAAGTAAAACAAAAAGAAGCTGTGAATGGTGGTATATGCCTGTCATCTCTGCACTTGGGAGGTCGAAGCAAGAAGATTTTGAGCTTGAGCTTGGTCAAACATGACCCAGTTAAAAAAAAAAAGTTAAAAATAGTGTTATTTCTTGGTCTAAGTTGGAAATCATTGAAGGATGTTTGTCTTGAAATATCGGTAACTGATGGCTTGCCTGCTCATAGGCTTTAGGTGTGGGTAAACAGCTAAGTTATACACTACTTATTTAGTTTTTGGAAGCTACAACAGCTACATTTTTAGTGGGAAAGGCTCACTATAAATTACAACTTAAGCATTATTCACTTGATTTTTACACTTAGTCATTCAATCAATATTTTCCAAATGTTAGCTCTGTGCTAGTCAGGCTACTAGGTATTGGGGATGTAGCAATGAGTTAGATTAAGGCTGTGAGCTTGATGGATGAGGTGAGCTATAAACAAATGAAGGCTGGTGAGAGGAAGTGCGTGGGGGCACTTGTCAGGAAGAAGGAGGTGACTGTGCCTTTGGGTGTAAGATAGCCGGGCATGTTTTCTGAGGATGTAGTAACTGAGATGAGACTGGAAAGAATAGATGAGCAGAACTGCTCTGTGAGAATAGTTTGCTACAGACAATTGTACTTGGCGGACTCAGAACTGTGGTGCGGGCTAGGCAGATGGCTCAGGGAGCAAGTGTGCTTGCTGTGAAAGTTCAAGCACCCAAAGTTTGAACCCCCAACACCCATGTAAAGCTGGGTATGGGTGCTTGTGCTTGCCATTCCAGTGCTAGGGGTCAGAGCTGGCCAGCCATAAAGAGACTTTGTTTTCAAAACCAAAGTGGAGAGGGATGGTAAGAGAGCTAACCTCCTACTCTGGCCTCTGTCTGTGCGTGCATGAGCGTGTGTCCACGCACATAGATTGTGCATACATTGCATGCGCACATCAGTAAAAATCAATCAGGTAGGTTTACTTTGCGTGATTTCACTTCTGCGCAGTGGTGATGCTCTGAACGGACCTAAGAACTCAGTTAGAAATCATGCCAGGTTGGCCTAGAGCAGAGCTGTGGAGAATGTCTGTTGGAGAGAATAGAATAGAATCTTGGTAAGAGATGGAGAAGGGGAGGAGAGGCAGCCATGCCTTTTGGAATGGAGGTCAGCAAATAGCAGTATGGCTGAAAGGCAGTGAGGGCTTCAGAGGAAGAGAAAAGCCTGGAGGGTCAGGGAAGGCATGTCTGACTTCTGGACAGTTTCTGAAAGAAAAATATAAAAATGAGAAGGTAAATGTAAACAAGCAAGTAGGCTTAGCAGTGCAGCCACAAGGGGCTTCTGGGAAGGGAAAGCACATTAGCTCATGAAGGGGATAAGTACTTCTCTTGTTTCTTTACAATGTTTTCTGGTGAATTAGCTTTGGAGGTGTGGTTCTGTGGACACGTGGCTAGGTGATATGACAGGTCCTGCTGGGTCGATTCTTATGTGAGGGGAGAGTCATGTTTAATGTTCTAATCTTTGGAGCAGATCAGAATGTCATGTCTTCACCAAATCCAGGGATAGCTCCTTCTTTTGACCAGGAGGGCCAAGGAAGGGGCACTTGTGATGTTCTCCTTTCTAGAGTTACAGACAGGAAGTGGAGTCTAGGGTGGACCTCAATGGCCTCCAAGGGTACTAATTCTCATGTAGTTACCTAACATTCTCCCTCTCCTCTCTAAGAGACGAGACTCTAAAATCCTGAGCTGAAATGACCCCAGAGGTCCAGTTCCAAAGCTGTTCACCAGAGGAGATTGTGTCTGGCTGGAATTGAGGTTGCATCCCAATGTGAAACTTCCATGCAGGGGGGCATGTTTAGGAGAAGAGAGGTACCAAACCAGAGCCTGTCTGGCATTCCTGGCTTGTGACCAGGAAAGGACCAAGGGTATTTCCATCTTCTGACCAAAGATAAGAGTGAAGCTCCTGCATTGGGGATCTGGAAGCTGCCTAAGTAATTTCTATCTCTAGTTTTTCAGAAGAGAAGTTGGGTATGGTGATTCTCAGAAGGGTTAGACATCATAGCCATTTATTATGATACAGACTATTTTAAACACTTTCACAAGCAATGTGACATGTGACAGTTGAATGTCAGCCATGCTTGTGTGTAATTTTATGATCCACATATTTTGATCAAACAACTGATGTTTTAATTTTTGACATCCACATATTATGATAGAGGGAAGAACAGGTTAAATTCTGAATTTCAGTGGCAGCAATCATTCTACCTTACACCTGGAGGACATGGCATTTTCAGACTGGATGCATTCCTCTTGAGAAAGTAACATACCAAAAGAAATTAAAAAAAGAAAATAAAAATAAATTAGAAAGATTATTAAAGAAACTCAGTATAATTACAACCTAAAAAAAGAGTAACGAACCAAACCCTCCACGTATCTTTTGTAGGCGGCATCACTGTCCACATCTCCCTACGAAGATTTATGACAAAACAGAGAAACCATGTCTTCTCTCCGAGTACACCGAGAACTATCCAATCTACGACTCTTACCTGCCCAGAGATTCCTTCAAGCCCAAGGCGGTATACGAGAAAGGAGCCATCCCAATGGATGGCCTGACAACATCCAGGTGAGGGCAAACAGTGCTCAGGAGCAGATGGCGGGCACGAAAGCAGTGGTGCCAAGTGTGATGATGCCGAGGAAGCAGCGTGCAGCGTTAGCGCAGCGTGACGTGTGCTAATGTGTTAGTTAGATAGCTCTGAAAGAGACTTTTGCACTTGCTAGCTTCCTTAATGGTTCCCGAACACCCTCTTATTGAGAAAGAATTCTTTCTTGTTGAAGTGGGGGTCAGGAGACTAAAGTGGCCCTGTCTAATTAAAGGTGGGAGGTTAGGTATTCAAAGGGAATGGGAGGGATTGCTGCTGGAAAAGGAATCTTTGGCTTTGTGAAAGGCTCCATAGCAACTTGGGTGGTGAAAGAAGACTGACAATAAAGAATGGCTCTTGTGATATTATGCTGTGGGTTTTGAATTAGAGATCTCACAAATGTTCAAGATGTGCAGCGTTATGACAGACATTTATTTTCTGTCCTGAAGTACAGGAAAGAGTGCCTGAGATGCAGATGTTTGGGGACGTTCTTGTTCATTGTCTATATCTTAGGAGAACAAACATCCATCCATCCTCTGCAGGGGGATTCCTGTCCCACGTCCCAGCTCTGAGGCCCTCAGATGTGGAAGCCCTACATACCTTCCTCCTTCCTGATGTTTGGCAAATCGTAAAATTAACCTCTGACCTGAGCTGAGTTATCTTTGCCCGAGTCATTTGTAACAATAAACCCATCTCCCGGCAGGTGCCCCGCCTCAGCCAGAACCCCTCCAACAATAAATCCAGTTTACATCAAGAGGTCCCCAGCTACTGAAAGAATTTCCCAAACTAGTAATGACTACAGAGCTTTAAAAAGAGAAAGGGGTAGAATACAGTTATTAATGCGGAGTAAGAAAAGCAGGCCTGGGAGCTGGGGCATGCCTTGATCCTAGGGCACTTGCTTATGTGGAAGGTCCTATGTTCAAGACCTCAAACTGAGGTTGGAGGAGGAAAGGTGATAAGGGATATTTTTTCCCTTTTATCCTACCCTAGGATCAGGCACAAACTCAGCGGCAGTCGCTCTCCTGTACCTTCACTGCCATTGCTTCTCAACTTGTGCCTGCTGGGGTGCTTTTCACAGACTGAGGAAAAGTTGAGCTACTTTCAGGAATGTAAAGTGGTCTGCCTCCCCAGGCTTTTAGGGGATGGGATGGATTATCTACATAGCCTCGGCTTCCCTCCCTGCTCTGCTCCCATAGCATCTTGCTCGAATTTCCTTATCTACAGGTGGACTCTGCAGTGTTGAGGCTGGTCGCCCGGCTCCCACCTGCTGCATGAAAAAGTCATTTGGTCCCGGCTTGGCTGAGTTTGGTGATTAAGTCCAGACACAAAAACCACCTGGCTTCTGGAAAGGTTATCATCCCAGCACGAGGCATGATTACAGCTGCATACAACCCTTACTGACCATAAATTGTGGGGATTTAAAGCAGACGTCAGAAAGGGAATGCCTGCAATTTTCATCCCTTCTTACAGGAAAACCTCTCTCTCTCTCTCTCTATATATATATATATTTTTTTCTTTTTTAAAGAATTTTCAGTCTTTAGTAATTCTCTTGCAGAGGACTTATCTTTAGTTCAGCTAAATCCAACATCAATTTATGAAGAAAGTTTGCATTTCTAGCCTCACTTCCCACTAGGCATGCCACTGGATAAAACACGTGGACCCCACTTGGGACAGTATTTCTGTTGGCTAAGCCTGCTTCAGTAGTGTTAAGTAGTACCCTAAGAGGGAGTAAGATACGGGCAGCAGATTGGAGATGCTTGTGTGTGTGTATGTGGTGGTGGGGAAAGAGATGGATTTGGCTTGAAGCTAGGGGACAGGGTTGCAGGGATGGTGGGATGCTATGGAGTTACTAGTGTAGACTTGTTTATTGATAAAACTTATTGACAAATCAGGGAGCTTAAGGGAGGCAAGAGCTAATTGATTTTGGTGGGCTTTTCCAAAATCAGGAAGGATGCAAGAAATGGCAATGAGTTGAGTCTTAACATGCTGGTTTCAACTGTGTGGGTTTTCTTTGTGGACAGAGACTGGACTCTGTTACTCAAACGGACAATGCTGGGCTTGCCTGTGTTGTCAGCATGGGCCTGAGGACTGATGAAGACCAGCAGCTAAGGTTCTCAGCACTAGGCGTGCCTGGGGGACTTGAGAGCCTTTCACTTCTTTGATGTGCATTCTCAATTGAGTTTGTGGGCATTTCGTCCATTATTTAAGAATCTTCTTGTGTCCCTGGTGTTCTGTTTTCTTCTCTGCCTTAATCTTCCCTATTTTTGTTCAGATTAGATAGCTTTTAATAAATGTTCACGTTCACTGACAGTTTCCTCCTTTCCCTAAGCCTAGTGAATTATTTTTTCTCAGATAATGTAGTTTGTATGTATGTATGTATGTATGTATGTATGTATGTATGTATGTGTCTGTCTATCTATCTATCTATCTATCTATCTATCTATCTATCTATCTATCT